GGAAAGCAGAAGGCCACCAATGTTGTCAATATAAAGACTGGTTGGGTGCCTTATTGTGGAACATGCCAAGAGAAATGAAGTATTCTATTTATCTTGAATATAGATTAAGTGACATTTAATAGTTTACTGGAATTTCATTACTATTTCTTATTTAAATAAATGACCTGACCTGTTTCTTGAGGAACTTTATTCAATTTTTCATCTGCAGAATTGCAAATACATTAAAAATCACTGAAAACATACATAGATTAAAAGCTCCCCCATCAATTAAGATGATTTGCTTAGCCTCAGTAAAGTTACCCTCATGTAGTTTTCAGTATTAGAGAATAAAACTGTAGTGTGAAATATGTATGTGTTCGTGACCTCATTGTCATTCACTGTGCCATTCATAATTATTAGCATGCTTGAAAACAAATACTAAAAATTCAGCTGCATTTGAGGTCATAATCTCAAGAGTTCAAGCAGATGTAGAAAAGGAAGAAGTCAGATCCAAGTATCTGCTTAAACACCCAACCACATTTTTTCAAGTGCTGTGCTGATGATATAGCACAGATTTGTGGTTCTGATTAAATCTTGGTTTAATCCTTGCCACTACAAAATGAGGAGTATTTCACATAAGTTAAATGTTAAGAGGTAAATATGCCAGCAGTATTTCTTTGAAACACACTGGTTCGAGCTGAGTCTGGGGCTGGATAATGTAGTCAGCGTTTTAGGTATCTATAGAAGTGAATTCAGTGAATTAAAAATATTGTGCTTTGAAGAAATGTCAACATTCACCCATACTAGAATTAAACATCAACCTTTTTCTAAAGACCTGGCTGCTTTGGAATAACTGCATCAACTCTGATTAGCAGAGCGTTCTCAAACATGCCTTGGGGAAAGCTGCCTATTGACAAAAAGTACTAGTGCATTAAGTTGTAACAATATTTTCATGGCAATAAATTAGCAAAGCTACAGGCAATGTTCAGGAAGTGAAAAGGGATTTTATATAAGAAACCACTGAATTTGCCCTTGGCTTCGTAACTCTGTTTGCTTTTAAAGAAAATATAGCACCTCATATATTGGGCAGTTGTTTGAAAATCCTGGTTTATTACGCTCCCAGAAAACAAACTGGAAAAGATCTTCCAATCAGACCATTAAGGTAAAATGCTGCAGAATATGAATAATACAGTACCATATTTGCATTTGAATTGTTCCTGAATATTTTAAAGTGTATTCAGACTCCTCTGGAAAGGCTGAATGTAAATCTTCCTGGGTTTCATTATCTCTCCCTTTTGAGGGGAGGAAGATCCCATTAGGGTATATTAAAAGTGGAGTCCTGAGAGAGGATAGTATCAACTCTCCAGCCTTCTTACCCCCTTTCTGCAATCATGCTCAGTTTCCCAGTGTATTTTCTCAGCTCTGGTCATGGTGGGGGCTGGCAGAGGAGAGGGGAGCATGTGGCTCCCAGCTCAGAGGAGCTCTGTGGGACTGAACAGCCTGGCACTGCGAGCGGAGCAGCTGCTCTGTCAGGGAATCCTTCCTTAGTCCTCCACTGGGCTCTAACTTTGAAAGAAAAACTGAACTTACAGTTCCCTGGCAAAAGAGAAATGCCTGGCCTTTGCTAGTTCCCTGAAGGCTCCTTCTTCCCCTAAAGGACGTGATTCAGTCAGACCTCTGTGGTGCAAAGCTGAACTGAATTTTCTCACATAATGTGGGGTCTCGTGTGCGTGCTGCACCT